TGGCTGCGCTCTGCTTTGCTGTTCTTCCCCATTACCCCTTCAACAAGCAGCTCAGGTCATACAGGATTAAAGTGCTAAATGAAAGTTTCAGATGCTTTTTATGGTGAAACAATAATATCAAAAGACATAAAACTGAGAAAGAAATGTAGCTGTTCTGCTTTTCAGGCTCATAAACCTAGGAGACAAGAATTGGTTCACGTGCTCCAAAACGTCATTTTAAATGTCATTTGTTCTCAGGCACTTAATCTCAATTTCTTTTCAGTCATCCTCAATCACCTCCAGGGTACAGTGACTGTAGTTGTTTCAAATTAAGAAATAAGTCATCTGAACATTCAGTTCCTTTCTAGAGGGGAACTTGATATCTGTTTAACAGCATCAGTCATGCTAGATATTCTATAGTATTATGTTTAAAGGCATGAGTAATTTAAAAGCTAACACAATGAAATAAATCTTGGTGTTATTGCTAAAATTGCAATTACTAGGTGCAGGGTATTACATGTTAAGAATCCAACATATTTCTAAAAATCTCTGATTTTTCCACCTCTTTCCCATCACCTGGGCCACGACCAGGTCATCTCCTGCATGCACGCATGCAATACAATCTTGTTAACTTTCACATAGAACATGGCTATTGGCAGAGACAGAAGAAAAGTCAAGAACAACTTAGATTCACTTCAAGAAGACTTAAATCAATATACAAGAGACATGTATTGCATCATCGATAGTTGTATCTAAATGAGAAAACACATTCCATTTTCATTTGATTAAGATGCCCTTGTTTTAACGTGTTACTGTACCTCTTTTCTGCCCTTTCCCAATTATCTTATCTGCTCGTGAGTGTAAGGGTTAGAACACTGTTCCAAGACTGTTATGTGCTAACCTTCAGTTTGGCAGCCTGTCCAAAATGACTATTCCATCTACAGACATAAGCCAAAGACCACATACAGACTTACAAGGACAAGTGAGTGGGAGCATCTGTCTATTAAGTTGTAGATGTCCAATTCTGGCAAAACCACTGCTGTGGTATTCTTTACACATTATTTACAACTATGGTGCATTGTTTCCTACCTTAAGGTCAGATTCTTAGAATACATGCTGCAAAAATTACTTAAAACAAATCACACTGCATGGGAGTTCTTCAGAGTTTCCAAAGATGTATGACTAGGGGCCACATGGCATCCTGATCTGTACTTAGGAGCTCATCCTCACACAGCTTTTTCTTTGTAACACCACTTGTTAAGAAACACAGCCAGTTCTAGAGCTGAGGTTTGAAGTATTTACATAAGGAAACCTTAAGCCATCCTGCTCAAGTTTTTCCCACTTTGAAACAGAGATACTACATTTTTTACCCATGGGCAGAATAACTTCCAGTCAAACACCAAGCTCAATCACATTACAGAATACTGTAGTCTTCAAATCCAGTGAATTTATCATCCTATGTGAAACGGAGTCCTGATTCAAAAGTTCTCACACAACACAAATCTTTACTAGGAGCCACAATCTTTAAAGCTAGTCAGCACTACTGGCATCACTTAAGGCAAAGACTAAATAGTCCATTCTTTTATTTAAATACAGTAAGAGCTTTAGAGAGGATTTAGGATTATGTTAAAGACGTAATGCGTAACAGAATTACTTGCTGCCATCTCCCTTCCCAAAGTGAAAGTTTGTTTTGATGTTTAAGTACATTTAGGAGTTGATAGTTTCATTCTAAAATGCCCTCTCATCTACTACATCAAGTAGTACATACCACACACTACTTGGAATACAACGCGATTAATAGAATTCATGTCATTATACTTACATGCTCATTTTGTTCTTTAGAATGGCTGAGTTACTATGGGAGAAGCATGCTATTTTATAACTAAGGCAATTTGTTTCTGAGGGGTAGAAGACAAGTGGAAGAGCTCAGGAACATGCAGTAAAACCCTGACTCCTACCCCTAGAGAAAGCAAGAACTGAAACAATTTCACCTCTTCTAAGATTGAGAATTTGCTTTGCACCTATTTTTCTACATTGTTAAGTACCTATAAGCCTTTTATAGAGCAAATTTTAAGAGTGAGATGTGCAATATATATGTTTTCCAGATACAGAACGAAAACAGTTAATTTAGATTTCTCTTAGTTACTGTTACAATACTGCATTTTCGGTTGTAAATTTATGTAAAGTTAACAGCTAAGTTCTGCCATGGACACACATTTTTCCTTTTCACCATGAAGATGTAAGCAGAGAGGTTTTTAATAATGCAAACTGCGTAAGTGCAGATCTTAAGATCTTTGTTTTAGTACATCTCATCAGTTGTACTGGTGTTTAACAGCTGTCAGAAATCTCTAAACCAAAACAAGGCTTCAGTGATAGGTCTTCTGTGATGTTAAACAGCTCTCACCAGCACTTCACAATCTGACAGTGTGACTATAATTGAGAAAAATATAAAAACAGTACCAAAATCCTTCTACTCTACTTTTTCGTAAACCCACCTAATAAAATGATTCGGAGAATTTTCAATCTAAAAATAAGCCTGTTTTTTTTTCTCCCAACAACAAAAGGCATTAGTAGTGCAATCTATATAAGTAAGCCTGGTTGAAGTTTATTTAATTATAAAATTAAACTCTTTTTTTTTTAACTTAGCTTCATACTTCCTGCTCCATGTTCAGATTACACTCTGTTCTGTTACAGTGAGTAACAGCAAGATGTAAAAAGAGCAGTCATACAAAAGAATTCTTTTTCAAAGGTCAGCATACTGCAGCAAAACATGGATGTTGCAGAAGGAAGGACGGCTGTTCTCCTCCTTAGAAAGAATTCCATGAGCATTCTGTTTTCATGAACAGCATGCCAGAAAAGCGCATCGCTATCATCAAAGCAAGTTTTTGGTGTATATGAAGACCATCAGTGTTTTTCCAAAGCCCAACCAAATTAAATTTCAAAGACTGGCTGACAAGGACTACAGGCTTGTTTCAGGGTGCTTCCTCATGTTTTACAACCTAGGTTCTCTCATAAACCTACCCCTCAGTTTTTAAATAAGCACTGATTGTTTGGGTTGTGAAAAGTTTCAAGAGACCTTGACAAGCAATCTTACTTCTCTGTTTACATACGTTGGTATTGCTTAGTCTTAGGAGAAGGAAGGGTATCTTTCAGGCTCTGGGAATAAAAGTGCTACAGGAACATTAAAGAAAAACCCATTTCTGTAAAGAATTTATTTTTGTTTCAACTTGCCCATCAGTTTATTTTCCTCCTTTCCCTTTTGGCAAGGCTATCATTACTTCTGTTTAGGCTTGTAAAGAGATAATGCCCTAGAGCCTTGAAAACATCTAGTTCAAGAAAGGGGTACTTAAATACAGCCATTTTATATTCATATATTTTTATATGTTATAAAATATATTTTAGATTTTATATTCAAAGCATACAATTAGAGACACCTATTCCTGTCTCAAAAAAAAAAAAGCTTCTGCTGTCAGATGCCTGATATCAGTATGAAAACAGCATAGCTAGAAAGAGCTTTCAAAAGTACCTTTGTTAATACGCTTTATAGTGAGGTAGCACCCACCAATCCCAGGAATTAGTGTACTTCAATGTAAAAGCACAAGACTGGAGTAGGTTTGCAGGAAGCCACTTCACAGCTTTGAGGTGGCCTTTTAAAACAAACTCGGGATTTATAACAAAAAGCAGGACTAAGTCAATACCAGTTGTAGATTTCACTAAACTCTTAAGGAAATTGCACATTCTTTCCGTATCGTGTCTGTAGAAGACTCTTGGTCCAATTTTACTTGGTGTATTCCTGTGACTCCTTCCTTATCTGTGAAATACCTTTTACCTCTTGCACGTAGTGTTTAAGACCTATTGACAGGATGACATACAGGAGCTAGATACGTATAATTCTGATACGCAGCGAAGTTATTCGTATATTTTAAGATGAAATCTTAGGAAGTTTTTAACAGCGGACCTGCACCTAACCAAGCACAGCCGCACTGACAGCTCCGCGGCTGTAAGCCCTCACAGACCGGCTCCGCGGGGCTCCGCGCACCCCGCCCGCCGCCCCCCCTCATGACGCCCTCTCAAGGTGCGATTTCCCGGGGATCCGCTCCCCGCCCGCCCCCCTCTCCGCGGGTCCCGGGCACGGCTGGGTTGTGCTGCGGGAGCCCCTTCCCTCAGACAAAGGCGGCTGCAGTCCTCAGCAGTAGCAGCGGAGCCTCCGCCTGCGCCCACGGCGGCGGGAAGCGCGGCCCTGAGGGG